GAACCATTCCACCGGAGACTTCTGAGCGCTATTGTATATTGGTGAAGCAAAAATACATGAAGGCAGGCAACGGAGCGTTGTAATACTGTATGATAGATAGAAATCTTAAGAGATATGTAGTGAAGTCTTCTAAGCCATCTGTATAGCTGGAGGCAGTATACAATGATTTTCGGTATTCCTACGGTCGATCATTCAGTCAGAGGCGAATAGTGCTAGGTATAACGTGACTATCAAACAGAAGTTATGTAGGGTATCGAAAGCTGAAATTCTGTAATCAGGGGCCAGGTGGGGAATGGGGTGGCGGCAGGGGACGTCGGAGGGAGAAGAAATGGGTGAAGAGGAGACTGTGTCAGGAGAAAAAGGCAGGAGGTAATACTCCTGTAGTATTAACTCTGATACCTTCTACTACTAAAAATTGGTGTGTTCGATGTAAAAAAGAGATCGAAGATTATGGTCCTCATTCAGACATACACTGACTACAACGCCAGAGAAAATCTGAAAATTGGTTCTACCTTTGAATTTTTTTTGAATTGTCACTTTATGATAGACGTTGTACTTCGTACCGTATTTTAGAGTGTTTGTGGTGAACTCTACGGAAAGAGTAAGGACAAGGGCACGAGAACGAGTAGCTCGATTACCATATCCAGTCACTGCAATAACTTGTGTAGCTGGCAACGTCTATGTTGCTACAGCAAGCCCAACCAAAGTGCAATTGTTACGGTTTTTCACTTCGACAGGTAATTACTGTAACTTTTTCTGATATCAAAAAGATTACCTGAGTACATTCTCTTTACCGCTTCTCTCCGTCGCTTTCGAAGCATATGAACGGAATTATAAGGGGCTTTACCTCACGTCCATCCATCTTGATAGATCCCTTCTTTTTGCTGAACAGTACTCCCAGAAGAGATTAGGCCCAATAAAGAGGCTAAGGCAGCTTCCAGTTCTCAAACGATCTCCTGGCCCTCGCTCCTCTTACATAGTTGGGTGCACCCTCGAGGATCACAAAATATGGAGAAGTTATGTTGAATTGATGATTTGGCATTTAACCCTTTTTCAGACGGAACATGGGAGCTGGATTCACCGGCCACAGTAGCTCATTCGTTGCTCCAACCTATTTTGGCAATGTGCCAAGTAGGTAGACGGCTCATCCTCACCAGTGGTCATCAGTTACACGTCATGGACACTGAGGGATCCGTATGGGAGGTATTGGCAACTTTTTTTTATTTATTCGAGTATACCTCATAGGTGTGTCCATTAATCCCACCGAAAAAAAAGCGTGAAAAATTTTTTCTCAAGAGTTGTCAGTTTTCCGTTTTTTCAGCTATTTGGATGTACCAGAAATTTTTGTTACAGAAACCGGTAGATGTTGTACCAACGTCGGACTCGCTGCACTTGTTAGCGACTACTGGCTCGGTACTCTTCTGCTGCGGAAGGCGATCAACGAGCGTTCATGTGGTGGATGCGTTCTCGTTGAAAATTCTGAATCACTTCAGCATAGCTGCTTGTGTACGAACTCAGCTGACAGGTAAGAATGACTGCATGCCGGTAGCTAGCACTACCCAGAATATATCTAAAATTTATGTATTCGTTCACTTGATACATGGGTTACTTGGATTGCAAAAGCGAGCAGCGAGTTCTTCGCCTTCGCGTGCCTTCCAGAGGGTCTGCGAAGATGTTTCCAGCTCTACAGGGATCATTTGACTGCAATGCAGCACCCATAAGTGGTTTGAGTCATCCCTACTTCGTTTTGGAAATATGTGTTGCCAATTTTACAATCTCCAACATCTCCGAAAGTTATCTTTCCTCTTTTAGGATGGAAGATTGTCGAAAAAGGTTCGCACAGTACGGTTCTTTTCAAAACCTTCTTAAATTACTTCAATGTTAAGGTCGATCGGAACACCCCTGGTGGCATAACAGAAAATTTTTTCATATCTGTTGAACCACCATCCTGAGCTACGTTTCGCTCTTTTCCCCAAATCGTTCTCTCTAATTTCATTGCCTTCCTAAGTTGTGATGGGAAGCTCCTAACCATAAACAATGCAACTCTCTTGTTCCGTAACACGTGCTTGAACCTTGATAATGAGGGTACAGATAAAGTCTCAAAGCGTCAAACAATCCCATCTGTGGGATGAGACCCCGCACACACTTCCATTTAGAATCGTAGTAACGTAATGAATGGGTATGTGGCCTATACAATGACTTGAAGGGGCTAGTCGATATACGAGTCACCGTTTATCCAGACGACTCTGATACCAGCTGATCTACCCTGTATCGACTCGCGATTCGAACCCGTGACCATGCGCGCGTTATATGTAGTGCGCCATTTGCCGCTACGCCCCTACACCATGCATTTTGACTCCCTTGACGTCTAAGAGCGATATAGTTACGGATTGAAGAAGCCTTCGTTGTGTGTTTTGACTTTTTCGGATGCATAAGCACGCAGCAAATCTTAGGGAGTGTCTTTAAAATTGCAATTGCCGTAATCACGCTCTGAGACATCGTTGCAACCATTCGAATCTGATACCATTCATGGCGAACTCGGCGTACTCATCAGGAACAAATTCACATACCCAACTGATGCATGTAATGGCTTCATTCTGATCCCCACACTGCTATAACATTCTATTCTACAGGGCGTTCTGCAGGTCGTGAGGATATCATCCGTGAGCATAAGATGGGATGTTTGCGGATTACCTGCATCACGGTGGCCACATCACAGCTTTGGATTGGTACCTCGGCGGGATTCGTCATTTCAACACCACTGCACTGTGCCAAAACGCAACCCATTCCACCATTGACAGGTGAGCTGAACGTATACATATAACTATACCATTTTGAGGCTATTTTCGCCGATGCTCTGCGGTTCTTCACCTAAGTTTAAGTTATTCCTCGTTCTTGACTTCAATCTTCACCCTTTATTTTTCGTTAGTTCTGATCGATTATTTTTTTTTCGCTCTCGTGTCGATCTTACTCCGTAGATTCTTATGGTCTTCAAGGAAAGAGTGTTAGCGAGCAGCAGATGTGGTAAACCTTCCTTTACATCTTTGATTGCTAATCTCTGCCAACTTTCTGAGCGTGACGTTCCTCCCGATAAGTTCGAAGTACGGGCATGCTCATCTATCTCCCCGCTTGGCATGCCGATCAAGATAGCTCATAGCTTCACTGTTCCTTGATGCCCCTTTATTCTCTTCAAAAAATGACGTTTTGAGAGGGTATCTGCCGTTGTTTTCCTAGCAATAAAGGTAAGGGAGGGAGTAACTAACCAAAATAACTGGGGTGATTTGAATGGAAACGATCGACGAAGAAACTGTGAGCTACTCCATCTCGAGGAGATTTACGAAACATTTCCTAGGTGAAAATGGTGCGGATATTCATGGCATTGCTGTTACGGATGGATCCGAATTTTTGATACAAGTTAACTTCCCCTAACTTTTTCTCTAATGTAACTTGTTCCCAAAAAAGTAAGTGGGGACCGTTTTTCATGTAGATCGAAAAGTCATCCACGAGAATCAGAATCGTTATTATATCCATGGATAGTAATAACTAAATTAAGNATTTCCTAGGTGAAAATGGTGCGGATATTCATGGCATTTCTGTTACAGATGGATCCGAATGTTTGATACAAGTTAACTTCCACTAACTTTTCTAATGTAACTTGTTCCCAAAAGTAGTAAGTGGGGACCGTTTTTCATTTAGATCGAAAAGTCATCCACGAGAATCAGAATCGTTATTATATCCATGGATAGTAATAACTAAATTAAGGTTTTGATGATTTTTTTGAGAAACCATAGCGTAAACCTTAGTCTTGGTTTCGATGAAGACCGTGGGTAGGGCTTTTGAAGCTCCCTTGAGCTGGGTTTTTGTAATAAAATTGCAATCGATCCATTTCTAACTGCTGTATCAATACTCTTCCATACCAGTTTCCTTTATGTCTACTTCAGTATCTGTAGTTCCCTTTCCTGATCCTAGTGAAGGGTATTATCCTAATCAATTTCCCCCATTAGAGACGTGGATCAATCTGATTTTTTGTTCTTGAGATTGAGTTCTTGATTGAGTTCTTCTTCTCATAAAATGGATAAGTTGAATCTAAAAAATATAATAGTATAATAACAAATATATGTAATATAACAATGAATAATCATTGAAAAGAAACTTCCCACTGTTTTAATCGTCGTAAGGAAGCCTTCAAAGTTACAGAATACTCACAATGGGCGGGGTTTGTAAATTGGGCGATCTACAATGATTAGCAGCATTTACCTGGAACTACCTTAATGACTCTGGGGAATAACCAAATCTGGAAAAGTATTAGAAGTAACAAAGAGCCACCGCAAATAAAGCCCCCAGTTGTAATATTGATGAGATTTTTCTTTACAAAAATTTTGTGTTTCAATGATTGTTCATAAGTAGGTATCATCGTTCATCTTATTTATTAGTTCTTTCTGTCGAAGTTCTTCCTATTTACATCTGTTCCTAGGCTCACGTATTCAAATAGTTTGTAATGAGAGGGATTCAAAAGTTGAAGTTGTACTTTCCCGTCCACAGCGATCAGTAGCCTTCGGCAAAATTGATTTAATAGCTCCTGTGAATTGATGAGATAGCAGAAGCTCTTCATGATTCTGCTTCAGCCCCAAAAACTCCACTCGTGGGATGATTTTTTAACAAAATTGCGTTCCATTGAGTGCCCATAGATTCATTTTGTTTACGAGTTCCTTGGCTTTTTCGGCTCACGCCTACATAGTTCAGTAGTTCTCCATGGTACTGGGGAATTTGAAAGTTGGATCAATGCTATCTCGTCCACAATTATCAGTAGCTTTTAGCAGAAGCCACTTCAATAGCTCCGGTGAAGTAATAGAATAAAATAGGCTCCCGATCCATATGGACGGGTCTCCGTGCTGGAAAGGGCTTCATTTATCTCATTGGTGAATTTTTTACAAAAATTTTGCGTTTTAATGAGTGTTTATCAGTGTTATATGCCGCCGTTACAATTTTTCTTTGACGTTCCTTTTTAAGAAGAACGTAATCATTAATTCAGTTTGTGAAATGGGACATGCCGGTCCGTGTCGGATTTTGTTGTCAGTCAGTGTGGTGATGAATCGGAAAGCGAAACGAATGTCTCTCAACGTGCCATCCCAGCAGTCGTCAAAGGTTTGCTTCAATGTTGGTTGTGCCCTTATGGATTAGGGCCAAATTAGATCCAAAAGATTCTCACGTAACCTTGAAGCATACAGTTGTAGGTGAGATTAGGGCGTCGGCTGCCTTTCAAGACATAATTGAAGGTGTGATCTGAACATTGTCATGTCAGACAGATACTTTTGTCCATACTCCTCACAATTGCATACATTTTGGCGAAAGGCTTCTGAAGAGATAGAGATAACGGGGCTTTGCAGTAGGGCTTGATACGAGTGTTTATTTTCTGAAGACCTGGCTATAATTTTGGCTTTGAACAATCAGTTCAGAAAATCGGGCATGTTTTTCCAAGTGGGAAACAAGATTTTCCATAACTTACTGAGCGGACACTTGTATATCTGCAATCAGCTAGGCTCTTCCAATGCCATTGGGGCTTGCCATCTCGACGGAATTTGCAAAAATGTTTGTTAGGAATCTAACTCAAAGGGAGAATGGGTCAGCATCTTTCGGTGGTGAAGCACCATTCCTAAAATGAAAGCTTCACTCAAGAACTTAGGTTGTTCTCCTAAAGGCTCTACCCTCCAATCGAAAGGCGTACTGAAGGCTATATGGGAACTGCAAATGACCTCTATTGGTTTTCGAACAATTCTTCAAAAAAAAAACCAGAACCGCTATCTGAAAAGTTTCTTCTGTCTGAATTCAGGAAGTATTCTTGTGATCACAATCTTCAGTTCCTTTTTTCAGTTCCTTGTCGTCAGCGGCGGCGAAGGTTTGGACGACCGGAATGGCAGCCAAGATCCTGCCAACGATGCTGTTAATCACTTGATTTTTTGGAAATTCCCTCAGCTTTGTGATGCAAACTGAACGCCTGTCGATCAGTCTATGCGACTGGTAAATAAGTACTCAAAAGGATGGTGAAGTCCGATTTTCTAGTAATCTTAGAGGCAGCGTGCTTTCCTTACTGCGTCAGCTTCGATTATGGTTATTTTAATCTTTCCATCACTTTCTTCTAGGTCATTAGGTCTGACGGGGCATTCTGTGCCTTTCTGGAGCTAGCGCTATATACGCTCCATGGCCTAATTCAGTTTTCTCAAGTAGAATTCAGTTAATCTTAAAAATTGCTTTGTCAATGTCAGGGACAAGATTCTAAATGCCAGCCTGTCTCAAATCATTCCATTCTAGTCATTCTTTAGATATACGTGGAGTTTCCAGGAAACTGCTCTCAACCAATGGGATTTTCGCTTCCTAAGTGCCGCGCTTGGTGTAGTGGCAAGTGGCGCACTATGTCACACGCACGGTCAGGGGTTCGAATCCCGGATCGATGCCTGCCTAGGCCAACCAAGCCTTCCATCCCCACGGGGTCGTTGAATTGTACCAGACTCGTCTGGGAGGATAAAAGCACTGACTTGTACATCGGTTGGTCACCGCAAGTCATTGTGTAGGCCACACACGCACTCATTACGCCACTACGATTCTAAATGGAAGCCGAGTGCGGAGGCGCATCCCTCAGACGGGATTGATTAACGCCAAAAACTTTATCCTTTTATCCTTCAAGTGCCGCGCTTATGAGAGAGCACCTTCTGAGCTAATCAGTAGCTTTAAATATAAAAGCCGCCGTATTAGGCTGAGTTACTCTCCCTCAATTACTTCATTTTTCTTAGAAAAAATTGAGAATTTAAAACTCACCTCTACATAGCGCACTTCATACGTGGCTGATCTGGCGAGGGTGGCCCTTCCTTCTGTACATACAAGACCCCTAATCTGCGTTTGAGGGGGGCCCATCACTGGTGAAGGGAGCTGATTTAGCAGAAATTGAGCATTTTTGCATTTTTTCGATACCATTTCATACGCTGTAGAAATGGGGTGTAGTGGCAAGTGGCGCGCTATCACAGACGCGTGGTCCAGGATCGGATCTCGGATCGATATCCGCCTAGCCAACCAGGGCTTCCATCTCCCCGGGTTAGTTAATTGGTACCAGTTCGTCTGGGAGGGCAGAAGCACACGTCTGGCCACCGCAATTCACTGTATATAGGCTACTTACGTATTCAATACCGCACTACAATTTGGAATGGAAGTCAAATGTGAGGCGTATCCCAAAGACGCGGTTATTACGTAGAAATCTTCACACTTTCAATTTTATATTTGCAAGTTCCAAGAATGTACCTGTAAGAGCTATCGTATACGTAAAAAAACAGGACTTTATGTTTGTTCTAGCCATCGCCTGCGGCTTTCTAGCATTCCCACGTGCATGTTTCTTCATCCTTCCTTACTTTACTGTCACAGTTCTCGAAGTAGCATGGCTCGCATTGTGTATCCCACATGTCTTATATACTCCGACAATTCTACGCTTTTTTTTATCAGTACCATAGCCTCTCACATTCATTAGATTCGGTTTGTCCTTTAATCTTTACTGTAGGTGCTGCTACCTAGTCTACCTACTAGTCTTACTCATTGATGGCTCACTGGCTGTTTTCATAGTCCGCGATTTGGCTCGCGAGCGAGCGAGCGACGGGGGCAGCGCTCGCGGGCCAAATCGCGGACTATGAAAGCAGTGAATAAAGTCAACGCTACCAAGTGACTCGTTTGAGAATTTGTTTTTCTTATTTAGTAACTAAATAAACAATTTTGTAGGCTATAGGCGATTAAGTCCACACTGCTTCTACGTGCCTTATTTTGCCGCATTTTCAATGCACTTCCTTTGTTGTTGTTTTTTTTTTAAACATGCTCATATACTTAAAGGCACTGTTCACGAAAAAATGGTTTTGGAGATCTGCACATGGTTTGAATTCGACGCCCCCTCTGACCATTTGTGCAGGAATGAGGTCGGAAAACGGTCTGGATAGGGCACAATAAGGGCAGGAACAGTGGGGACGGGAGGCTTCCGCCCCTCGCTAGGCTGACTACGAAATCTAATTGCCGTTCATCACTTTCGCATTGGGCGAAGTTGTCTGCTTTTGTGTGTTGTCTGCCATTGCAGACACTGCGTCGCCTTCCCGCACTCGCCCGAACACTCCCTTAACCACCGTTCTTCCAATGTGAAACTCGTCCAACCCCCCTTTCCAGCCCTTTTTTGACCCTTTCTATTTCTTTTTGTTCATCGTTTTTTGCGCTTTTTTCGTTGTTATCGCTTTGTTCTAGTAGTTCTATGAATTCCCGTCAAAAAAGGGTACCCTAAGTTTATCGTAAACGGTGCCTTTAACTACTTTACCTACTGAATTTTTAAATGCTTTTCTCTTCATGGCTACTAAGTATTGTATATGTAAAGCGTATCTCGTCGTTTGCGGGATCATGTTTACTTGTTTTGTTTTTGATGGATGAATAGCTGCATCAAAGATGAATATTCCGATAAACAAATAAATAAAAAATTAAATCATGTGTAAGGATTTTTTCATGTGAAAAGGTATCGGATCCAAAAATTGTACTTGCGATTCATCATATTTGGTTGGTCGATTGTCGATTTTATCGATTTTTTACCGAGAAAAATTTCACAAGGCAAAAAGTTTTTAGACAGGAGGCAATGTCTCTCCTGGCTTCTCGTAAATCCACTGATGACGGACGGTCCGTGGTATCCGAATTGATGTTACTCGTAAAAATTTTGGCTGTTCTCGAACACCTAAGTACTCTCCTTTCCAATCCAACACTTGAGCTGATCATCTTTCTCAATGACCTGGTATTGTCAATACTTTTTCTTAATTGACTTTGTCACAATATGTTTCATTAGATAGAAAGTAAGGGAGATGGAATATTATGTTTTATCAGATAGAATGGAAGGAAGATGGAGTGCAACGAGTACTCGAGGGTGCCCAGTCGAAGGAAAACAGCCGCATGAAGGTTCTTGTATAGTTTGAACAGATTCCTTGGCATATCCCTATAACTTATTACATTCTGAGCCTTTAAGTGGCTACTCAGTGGATAAACGAGGCTAAGTAGCAAAGGAGGCGAGTCTGGGACCTGAAGAGGGAGGACCGCCAGGTACGTAATCTCATAACTCAATTCGATTGAAATTTTTGGCGTTTACGACATTTGTTGCCTCGATAGGTGTGGGGCGTTGTTCTCAATTGAATCTTGGCTAGAACGCAGGTAAGCCCCATTGCATTCTACCGAATTTCTCGATGGGCATGATGTTGAAACTGAAAATGCTGTTCATTAACTGTCTCTCCCAATTCGTAATCATTCGTAAGATTCAACATCATGAGCGAATCCCGAGAGTACAACTCACCTTGAAAATTTTCGATTGACATATCTGAAAATATTTTACTAGGGCCTTTCATTCTGCCCTTTTCCCTTGTGTTGTTATACCCGATCGTGCTGCTGTGAAGGTGAATAATTGAATTTTCAGTGGGAGTTTACCCTAGATATCACAAATTATTGCCATTTCGCATGGGAAAAAGACCTGTCTTCCCATTTATCAAGTCAAAACAAATTTTTCTAGTTTAGACTTTTCTGGAATTAGCTGGAAGCTTCCATAGAAAAAGTATAGGAGCACCTTTGTTGTAAGTATGGGAAGAACATATCTGGGGTTTTCTTGATATCGCCGTCGGTTGATCAGATCAGGACTCATATTCAACGTACTTGATTTCGGCTTTGTAGAGTTGAAACAAGACGTGTACTGAACGGCCTTGTAAAGACTCCATGACCGAATGCCTAGCACAAATTTTGATGGGCTATATCAGCAGAAGGGTCGGATTCAAACTCGTGAACATGTGCGTTTCGATTATGGGGAGACAGTTCGCCGTTGTAGGATTAATAATACAAGGGAGAGGGAGGAGGATATGTTGGGGGCAAACAAATGAATACCGTCCTTATATAGCAGTTCCATGGGAAATTCGTAGTGGGGTTTCAACTACGTGTAGGACCTGGGCAAAGAATTGCGGGTGGTCGTTGTACGGCAGAACTTTTATCCTCTCGGACATGTCTAGTACCAATTAAACGGCATATCAGATGATTGGAAGGCTTGGTTGTCTTGGGCGATGTCTATCAGGGGCTCGATCGTCGCACCATGCGTGTCTGATACTGCGCCATTTGCCATTACACCGCATCTGCCCCATGCGATATTTGAGAAAAATTACGGTTTCAGTAGTTGTTCAAATTGTGGCGATCAGAGGGCTGGTGTTCGCTTCTAGTAGGATTTGCTTTTGATTCGATCCTTAAAAATACGAATCAGTTCAAAGGTTGCTAAACACCGACTAATTAGCTAGTAATTGGTCTGTCATCTATGAGATAGAGTAGTACTGGTTATTGATGAAGTAACTGGGCCACCAAAAACGAGTGATTCACCTTCCATCCGATAATTTAAATGGGAGCCCTACTTGTTACTCGCCCTCTTCCTCACTCCCGCTCTTCTCTTACTTTCCAAGTCCCGTAGGCTGCTTCAATCTTGCGGATTCCTGGCAGGAGCTCTAAGTGGGCAATGTTTCACCTGGATAGTTCAGACCCTATCCAACGTTTGGGCTAAAGACAGGTGCAGCGAGGTCCATCAACCGTGTAAAATCCGTGAACCCGTTCACTTATCGTCGCTCATCACATCCTCCGGACACCCTCCCATCCCGCCTGTCCCCTAATTGCGAGCTAGGATAATGGATGGGTGGAAATTCGGCCGATCTGGTCAGTCTGCTGTCCGAACATAATGCCCAGAGAGGTCAATACGTATTCCGATCCTGCTGACCAATCTATTGACAGCAGCACAGCTGGTGCGCAACTGCCACTCCAACGGATTCTTTTGGCAGACCGCCACTTCCCACATGGCTTGTTCCCATGCAGTCGAAATGATTCTCGAGCTCTTGCCCATTCATTGACCCTTCACTGTCTCTCCTAGAATTCTTCCCCTTTTCGCCTCTACCAAAATCGACTTGCAATGCATAAATTATAAGGGTAGCCACCTAATATTCAATATGGGCTTTTGTAATCCGTCACATTTTGAACGAAAATGTTTAAAAGTATATTTTGGAAATAAATATTCCCAAAAGATTGATTTTGAGGGAAGCCCATATCTTTCTACTTACGCTATTTTGATACTGGATAATACCCATACATCTGTCTGGCTGACCTGAATCTTCCAAATCTGAAAAGTTTGGATTTCATCGACCATAGTGCATAGCGATAGGGGTTTCTACTCACTACATACCTTTCCTTACCAACAACCTTTTCCATAATGGGAAGAGCAAAGGGTGAGGGGAGGAATTCAAGTAAATGAATAGAATCCTACTTCTCACATTTCACTGGGTTTATAAAATGAGCCCAAAAACATATAGGGCGTTATTCTGCAAAATTTCGATCCCTTCGATTGATATCATATTTCTATCGCGGAGATCATTTTTCAACAGGAAGCAGCTACGAGCCAGGACACATCCCTTTTCTACCCTGTATCCTTACTATTTACTACTGCTTCAAATGATTTGAATCTTTCTCGTACTCGTGGTTTATCGCTGTTTCCGATAGCTATTCCCACTTGGGCAGCCTCCTCTATTTCTGGGGAATTTGCATATTTGTGGGCTGGTGTGGATCTTTCACTACTAATGAATCGATGACTCCATGCAAAGACATGCATGCCTCCCAAAACCCATCAATTGGAGAGATATTTAGGTGGATAAAAAGAAAAAAAAGCCGTTCTATCGTGCTTTCTGAGCCCCTCCCTCGCCTTCGTCCGATTTGCCCTTTTTGTGATGGGAGTGTGAGATAAGTGGCGCTCGAAGGGTATATTAGAGTTCACGCTGACGAAGCTATTTTTAGCGATGTGATTGCTTCTATAGGAAAAGCGAAGCTCTCGTTTATTTCATCCATTACTAATAGGCTTCATGAATCCCTGTAATCTTTAAACTCAGTTTCTTACCAGAAGTTAATCGTCTCAATAAATCGAAACTCAGAGGCAATTGTGTCCCCCAATCAGGATTTTTCTCCTCCCTTCAATTTTCAATAATTCTTTGAGTTTAAATCTTTTAAACTTCATTTTTTCTGCTTATTAGGTGTCTAGCAAGTGTGGAGGTGTTGTAGTGGCAAGTAGCGCACTATCACACACTCATGGTCACGAGTTCGAGTCCTGGATTGATATCCGCCTGAGCCAACCAATCCCACCGTCCCTTCGGGGTCAGTCAGTTGGTACAAGACTCGTATGGGAGAATAAAAGTGCTGACTTGTACATCGGTTGGCCACCGCAAGTCCAGCGTATAGGCCACATACGCATTCAAACCGTCACTACGTCTCTGAATGGCAGTCGAATGCGGGGCGCATTCCTCAGAGACTTCATCCTCATAATTTGTCTAAAGCAACCCTTTGTACACTGACCATTGATCATCTCTAGTGTTGTAATTCGAGGCACATCTGGCCATTGATCATTCCCGTTCGAAGTACAGCTCATTAGGACCCCAAAATGAACGATTGAATTCCAGTGAGGGCCCTTTTAATGATATTTCTACTCGTTACAATTTGCTTTCGTTCGTTAGCCCTGGCATGCTAAGCTTATTATTGATGAGAAGGCCGTTCCGCTTCCAATTGCACGTCGGCGTCTGCTCATAATTCCTCTGAATCAATCGTGCATTTCTTTTTACTTGCCACCAGTACAAAGTAATACGTCCCGTACCAGTTTCACCCATTTCAATAACCCATGAATAGAATAGGCTAAAACATAGGAAATTTCATTAGTTTGCCAAAAACCCTCCAAAGAAACTAGCTCTCGATTCGAAAATCAGTTGAAAAATTCTGAAAAATTCCTGGATGCCTCCACGTTAAGTTTACCTAGCCGTAGAGGGAGCTGTCCGAAGTACGACTGCATAATTTGGCTACTCATAAACTATTTACTCATAGTTAGGGAGGAATGTGTGCAGCATGTCATATTCAAACGGTACTAATAGTGCCGTAGTTATCCTCTAATGTAGTACTCTACCTGGAATGGAAGTTGGAGTTGTTGCAAAGGTCCCTATCCTGTTCTCAGTTTTAAGAGAAGCCGAAGCCTAACTAGGGCTACGAAAACAAGGCAAGATAGTTCGAGGTAACCCATTCGGATGATAGGTTCCACCCCTCCAATGTTGCTTATATCATGTCAGACATGGGCACCCACCTCGAGAGGCTTCAACACCGATCAGCCTCCCAAAACATTCCGTAGCAGGGCTCCTACTACTCATTCCATGACGTGGCGCCCTCCAAGGCGGTTACTTAGAGTCACAAGATATCTTTGCCCTTAGGAACCGGAGAACCTTTATTTACTAGAAACTCGTGCGGCAATGGCACTTTGTATTTGTTTTGTGCCTGTGTGCTCTAGACACTTTTTTAGCAAAAGTTGGGCGGGAGGAGGGGTGGGGTGCGCGAGGAGGGAAATTACTCGACAGTTTTTTCCGTACCAGTTTTGCCGTCATGCAGTTCCAATCATGAGTTTGAAGTTTTTGAGTTCTTTGCTTAAATGCTGTGCTAAGACGCGTCCATGCACACTTTTTTTTTATACAAACTGTGCTATCATTTTAATTGCGTTTCTTACCTACAATTATACAATTACACATGAATACCCACAAATCTATGGGTTGGTGCGAATACCTTCCCAAACAAGTTGATACCGAATCATTGACCCTTTGTGACGAGAAAGTTGGCTAGCTGGGGAGGTATTCATGTGGGATCACAACTAGACGCTGTAGAAGTAGCAGCAGTGCCACAGACCTTCTCCATTTTCATTCTAATTTACATTCACGCTCTGAATTGAC